GGGAACTTCGGTTGCTAGTGGATCTAATAACAGGACGCCCACCTTACGAAGAGTTGCCTGAAAATGTGTCAGAGTTTGTGAAAGTGTTATCTGAAAGGATGGATGATATTCACCATCAAGTGCATTCAAACTGATTCCATGAAGCTATGTTATGATAAGAGATCTACTGAAGTTAGTTTTGTACCAGGAGACAAGGTGTGGTTGTATAATCCCAGGAAGACCAAAGGGAGGTCTCCTAAGTTGTCTTCTCTATGGGAAGGCCCATATGACATAGTGGATCGTCTCTCAGACGTGACTTTCCGAATAAAATGTGGTCGGCAATGGTAAACGAAAGGTGGTGCATGTCAACAGGCTTTGGCGTTATCATGGTCCAAACGATGCTGCTGAAGACGTGTCACCTGAAAAAGCCACTATCAAAGAAGAAACTCTACCCAGTTTTGAGAAGGGAAACAGTAAAGCCCTTAATGAAGTTACTACCCTGATGTGACTGTTACTGATAATAGGACATTTCCTGATGGAGCAGATGAACCCCATGTGAAGCAGAAGCCAATGAGATGGAGACCTGTACAGAAGAATATACGTCCTGTAAAATTAAGAGACTTTGTTGTATTTTAATTTTGTGTTTGTAAGTTCTGTACATTTAATCAAGTTACTGTTAATTATCTATTGGTTTAATGTAAGTGGCTATTGTTCGGGACGTACAATACTAAGGGGCAGTGTTACGACAGCGGAAGTCACGCGACGCTAGGAGCATGTGTGCTGGAGTTTCTAGAAGGATCATGATTTATTGAGGAACCTCACGAAAGTCCCAGTGTTTGCTAGACACCCTCTTTTTTAGTATATTAGCCTGGCAAAGAAAGCTAGCGATAGGCAGATAGATTGCATAGACATGCAGATAGATTGAAGAGATAGATAATTGAGTCAAACGAACAGTAGGCACCGTAAGATTGGTTGGAAATGATCAGTCCCATACAGTTTTCTAGTGACAATTTGATAATATTAAGTGAGCCACTGTTAATCAATGATGAGAACATACAATGTTTTCTAGTGATTTTGGGGTACAATCTTTAATACTTGTAAACTTACATACAATTTCAAAAACTAGCCAGATTTATTTTCACCACAGTGAAAATACATGTAGAATTTATAACAAAACTACTCTAAGTAATTAAAGTAACAATTATAACTGAAGTTAAAGTAATTTACTCTATCAACAAATGTTTTAACATTATAATACAAAGTTCCAAAAAACAAAACTTGTTACACTTTACAGTTATTTCAGTTCATAATTATTCTGGCACTATCAAACTATGCTATGTTACTGAGTGCATTCAATACAATCTCTGAGTTAAGATTGTTTTCACACTGTTCTATAAATAATATTTTCATCTACTACAAGGATAATAGAAATACAAACTAAAAATAAATTTTCAAAGGTTACAATCACTAATGACAATTATACAGGTACTCTAGGGAAGACTTTTGCAAATGCTGAGAAACATGAATAGCAAAAATGGGAACTGAGCATTACTGATTAAATTCTAAAATACTGAATCAGAATATACATATATTATTATATTAAAAAGTTCACTCATATATATTCAGGTTTCTATATCAGGTAACTATTGACCATATAATTTTGAAATTATTCAAAGAGATTAAATTGCTTCCTTAACCTTCGATGCTTCTGCATGAATGAAAATGATAGTATTTTTTTTATTTCACTTAATACATGATGAAGAAGGAATAAAAATGAGTATATAATTTCACCTTTACAGCACACTTCACTATTGGTTTGCCTTCCACAAGATCTTTGGCTTCTCCTTCCCAGACCATCCCAAAAGATCCTTGACCTAGTTCCCTGATTAGACAAACTTTGTCTCGGGAAACCTCCCACTCATCTGGTAAATATACTGATACAAAAAGAAATTATTTAGAAGAAACTCTCTTTTGAGCTACTACTTACAAAGATTTCAATCATATGTATCTTACAGTTTGTTTTTACCATAATTTTTACATTTTAAAACAATATGAACACAACAATTCTCTATTACTTAGCAATAACAGACTCAACTTACCAGTGTACAAAGTACCCATAGTGTACGTTTGATTAACTTTTTCAGCACGGGCTCGGTCCTTGGGACCGACCTCATAACCATTTTGTACTTATTATAGTTTTCATGCTATAGAAAGCATATGTTAATGAAACTTAGCAGATTATCAGAAAACATTACAATGCTTTCATATGCAAAATATCAATTTTTTATTAAGCTTTAACTGAAAGTTTCCAGCCCTATACTTGAGCAAAGTGTTTCCAACATTGCTTCGCTGTTATTCAACACAGATATCTGAAATTTTTCACAATGACTCTTACAAGCATCAGCTCAAAACAAGACAAGAAATAATTCTTCTCTGATTTTAACTTTTATTGTAATTGGTCCTTAATAATAAAATAAATAATAATACTAAAAAAAACGTAATTCCAATTTTTCTAAATGGTGAACTGATTGTTAACTTTATAACTTTTGCTACGTAATTCTGGTGGGTACTTTATAATTTAATCAGTAAAATATCTGTTGATACTGTCTAAAAAATTTGTAATAAAAAAAATTAAGAAATATGTCTTTAAAGTAATTCGGTGAATTTGAAGGGTTTCATAAAATCTTTTATTTATAATTAAATTGGTATTTTTTGAACATGTATTTCTGTCATAAAATAAGAATTACATAATTCTATTGTTTTAAAATACTGGCATTTACAAGAAGAGGGCCCTAGTTGTACATGTGTAATTAGTAGACACAACCAGTGTAGGTTTCCATTCGTAAGTGAAGTTGAACTTTATTTCCAATTCGCAACTTTACGTGTCCTGGAATATATTGTACTGGTTTCTGAAATGAAATGTATTTATTTTATGTGTATATGTGAAAATGTTAAAATTTATATAGTAAATCTAAAGATAATCTTATCTATTTTCACATTTAAAATCTCGTATTTCCATAAATATTATCCTCATTCCTAATACAAGTTCGGTAATAGTGACTACTAGTGTAACAATTACATTCAAAAAACAAAGAAAAAATTGCTACTGTGTTATATCAGTACTAGTGAAATTTTTAATGAAGATCAGTTCCTATAACAAGTTTAATTCCAAAAAAGTTCCTTATTACAGCACCCAGCAGTAAGTCTCAGTAGTTATCATGCTAAAAATCTGATATAGATACCCATGTTCAGCACAGATAGTCCTTTGAACATCTATACTATTAATAATAAACAAACAAATAATCTGTTGCAAACGACCACTAACCAGAATAAAGTGGGATACAGCAATCAATATAAACAGCCCGTGCACAGGAACTGGTGATTACACCATACAAGAAACAAATGGTTGAACAACAGGAAATCAATAACTGACAACTGGTGAAACATTGTAATATAAGCATAATTTGATGAAATATTTATAGCTATTGTACAGTTTCCTTGTCTAAGAGCTGCAATGAACCAATTAAATATAGAAAAAGGTCTTATGAAAAAAATTAAGCAAGGAAAAATTATTTTGTTGCTGTTATAAGGTTTGTTTATATGAATTTCAACTGTTGGCATCATGCAATGTCACTTGCCGCTCCTTACCACTGCCACTTGTCCATTTTGATTGATCACTGATAAATATCCCAATATAAGAAGCTCTCACTGATTTTGCTATAACTTTTTTCTGTTTATCAAATTGTTCTTGATATTCTACGCATTTCTTATACCAGTAAATTTAGCACTTTTTAACAGTATACTAAGATCCTGTGTAATAGGTGAAACAGGCCCAAAAGAAAAAAAGGCCGCTTTATGATGTCGTATTACAAGGATTTAGAACTTCTGTTATAAACAGTGAATGTATTTATTGTAAATTACTTTACACTGCATTTTGTATTTACACATTAGTATGTGTACATTCTTTATACATGTCATCAAGAAAGACACACTTATGTGATTCTTTTTAATCAAGCTATTTTGTACAATAATAAACACATTTTTAGATTCATACTTGCTAAAAATTTCATTTCCAAATAACATAATTGCTATATTAGGTCATCAAGAAATTAATGTCGCTATTTTAGATGAAAAAACCCGAACAACTTATATATATATGAAAACAAAACATTTATTAAGGGAAATAGTCTCCATTCTTAATTAATAATACTTTTCCATCTTACAATCAGGTTTTTAATGCCCTGATTAAAGAAATCATTTGGCTTTGAAGCAAAAAACATGCCAATGTCCTCTTTAATACCTTCCACATTTGCATACGTTTTCCCATTAAGATGGTGTTGCAGCAACAAAAAAGATGGTAACCTGATGTTGCCATATCCGGAGAATATGGTGGGTGGGAGAGAACTTCCCAACCCAACTCCATAATCTTTTGTTGCATCACATGTGCCACATGTGGATGTGCATTGTTGTGTAGAAGAACACCTTTCTGATTGACGAGTGAAGGGGTTTCTGATGAAGGCATTGATTTAAACATACCAGCTGCTGACTATAGATCTCTGCATTGAAAGTTCGCTGTGGATTGAGGAGTTTGAAATGAATTACACTTTTGATGTCCTACCAAATGCAAAGCATCACTTTCTGCAGATGGAGTTCAGGTTTTGGGGTTGGAAGTGGTTTTTGTCTGGGACTGAGCCATTCTTTTTGGCATTTAATATTCACATAGAGAATCCATTTTTCATCACTAGTGACAACTCTGTCCAAAAATGGTTCATGTGCCAGAAGAGACGAAGCAACGTTCACACGAAACGATGATCATCACAGAGTTTGCAAGTCACCTAAACACATTCTTTATGGAGTTTTCCCATATTCCTAAGATATTTACGTATTGTTTCATAAAAAACATGCAATTTCAGGGCCAGTTCATGAGTGTGTTGCCTTGGGTTAGACTCAACAAGCATCTTCAGAACATCAATACCAATTCGAACATGTCGGCCCCTGCCATCACTTGAAAAATATTTGCTGAACCATTGTTGACACTTATGATTGTTTAAAACATTTCCATAAACTTCTTTGATATTCTTTATGGCTACAGAGGTATTGTCATTGTTTCCCTGATTGTGTGTCTCGTCGTGTGCCATCACTATCAGGGATTAGAGTATACTAAGCTTTACACAATTATATAGGCTACACTAATGTGATGTTTAGGTAGTTCGTTTAACTATTATACATGCTGTACCTTTTTTGGGGTGTGGTTAATGTTACAAAACACGACATTAATTACTTGACGACCTAATACAAAATCAAAAGAATGTAATTTGAGATCATGCATTGGACAATTTTAATTTATATAGTTATAGTTATGAAATTACCAGCCCTAATAAAAACTGTCAAATATTGTAGCATAAAAATGCTAATTCTTTCACTGCTATAAGATGCTCCCTAAACTGGATCAGTTTTATTTTTAGGCACTAATATCAGAAATAATAGATCCAAAAATGACAGGAAGCATGGTTTAATGAGAAGCAAACTTTTGTTCTTGAGGGTAAAAGAAAGGTTGAAGTCAGGAAAAGGAAAGTTAATGGAAAATAAAATGAACACTTTCAAAGTATCATAATAGATATGAATATAGTATATACATTAGTTGGGATTCTGTACACTTTAATATACGGTATGTTTGTTTGAGATCTATTTTTCAGTAAAATTTTGTGGATCTTTGATCTTCAGAAACAAAAGTGGTCCAAAATGTTACTTGTCACAAAGAAATGTCGACCAGCAGACTGTCACCTGCTAACCATGAATACTTGGCATATGTTTTGTATTTGAGACATATAGGTATAATCGGTATTGTGGTCTGCATTTGTTATTGTGCATGAGTTTTTTATGCATTTATATTATGAATAAACGTTTTCATTATGAATATGTTTTTTTTACTAACTGCAAGTATTTTCTAGTGTACATAAAAGTTTAATAAATATTTTGTTCTTCATTCATTTTATCGGAGTTTTTATACAAAGTTCAACCATATAAAATTTGGACTGATGTTAATTTTAATTATGTAATATAAAAAATACGGATAGGAGCAGATTGGCATTTTAAAGGACCAGACTGGGTAATATCACTCTTAGCACCTCAGTAATTTTTTACATGCAGCATACTGGCTAAACAAGAATGCATCCATTGCCTGGTGGGCCAATCTGCCCTGAATATGAAAGAAATGCATTATGAAATGAGTTTATAAATATCTTCTATATAACACAGCTATTTCACTGTACAGCTTAGCAGATTTGATGGCAGCAAAAGAAACAAGAGAAATTACAGCAGTTGTTGGAGGAAAAAGAAAAGAAACAAGAAAAGAGATTACAGCAGTTGTTGGAGGAAAAAGAAAAGAAAGAAGAGATACAACAGCAGTGGCAACTGGAACAAGAAAGGAAACAGGAAGAATGTCTCCAACAATAGTGGGAAGTCAGCAGCAACTACAGGAAAGTCAACAACAGTGGCAAGAAGTACAAATGGAAAACATTAGTAAATTT